ATAGTGTAGGGATCAAGGACACATATTAAGGAACAGTCTTCCATAAACTCTCTCTTCCTGGAAGCTCAGTCTGTCTTAATGAGCTGGCTTTGGTAAAAAGAAAACACGTCGCTTGCAGATTTTGCTCTTTCAAGTGCTGCTTTGGAATACCATCAATCCACGAGCACATCCTCATCGTCTTCGTTCTCAACGTGCCACAGTGTTGGGGAGACTCCATTACAAAGAGTTCCAGCGGGTATCTTGGAGGATCTCAGTTACGCAATTGCACAAATTCTCATTTTAAAAACTGTCCCACCAGCTGGAGGCAACAAAATATGAAGTAAACAGGATGACTAATGGACAAATGTTTCTGAAGAATGAAATAAATAAATAAATAAATAAAAATAAATATATATATATAAATATGAAGGTGCAATGTGTAAAAATTTAGTAGTATCTATTAACAGAAATGCAATATGACATCCATATCTATGTTTTCAGTGGTGCATAAAGAACTTACTTAATAAACCGTAATGTTTTTATTACCTTAGAATAAGACATTTATATCTACATGACCGCGGGCACCCCCTTCTATGAAGGTCGACATATTGTGTCGCCATGACCATAGCCGACAGCGAACAAACAGCGCTACAGAGCGCGTTTCGTCACTACCTTGAAAGAGAAGCAGCAGAAAGCTAAGCCATAGACACCGTGAGTAGTGGCTTTTCCCTCGTCAGTGGTGTAAAATATAAAATATGTAGTTGGATTGTTTCATGTAACTTAGTTCTTCTCCCTCACTGTGTTATGGCTTTGCTATGTGGGGATAAATGTGCTGGTAACGTTCGTGAGACAGCTGATTAGTACTCTTGTCATTGACCGTAAAACAGTATGTTACAGGAATCACCAACCCGTCGATCGCGGTCGACAAGTCGATCTTGGAAGCATTTTAAGTCGATCGCGAAGAGTTTTCAGAGAAGAAAAAGCCTATTGTGTGTAGTAAATGGTGTCTAGGGGATGCGGAGGCGCGCTGTTACAATCATGTCATTTCTGCCGCGCGCACCTTTGGGCTCATGCGGACGCATCGAGTTTAAACAAGGCTTTACGCTTTAACCAGCTCAGCCACAGTAACAGCTCATATTTAGCCAGCTAAACATTTACTACCCTGTTAGAAAAAATATATAGTTGCATAGTTTCATGTGGTTCTTCTCCCTCGCTGTATTATGGGTTTGCTATGTGGGGATAAATGTGCTGGTTACGTTTGTGAGACAATCAGCTGATTACTATTATTATATTATTATATATTAAGACCCTTGATCCTCACCTGACTATGGCTTTGTAAACTTTATCCATGATGTGGTTTATAATGGACTGTGGTACAGAAACAGTGACAATGTTACACACTCTTGGCTTACTCTGGCTATTCTCTGCTGTCTCAGACGACGATATGTTTGTCCCGTTTTAGCCACCGTAGCTTCTTCGAAAGGGAGGGGCGAGCAGTGGGCTGAGCCCTTAGTGCAACTCGCAACCGAACCGCTAGACGTCGCTAAAAAATACACACTGCACCTTTAAATATAACTATTCATTAAAGTTTTCTTTCAATATTTTTTTTTTCTTTTTTCTTAATTGTGACACCAGGACAGTTTTTAATCACCCTAACATTTTTAGACTTTAATTAATTTCATTTAAGAAATTTAAAATATGCTCATGGTGTATTCAAGTCATTGGATGTATGAATTGAAATTTTAACATATATTTTTAATTCGTGATAAGGACGCTGACCCTAATAATCATTTTTTTCATTATTGATTCAATGTCACCATGAAAGAGTACCATATTGTACTGCATTGCTCCCCCAGGTTTGATCAGGCACTAAGCATTAGAGTTTATCGAGCTTTTTCGCTTAGATTGACCAGGTTTCCCTGCACAATACCTCTCTCTGTTGGCCACCGTGCTCAAAAAACTACCCTGAACATTCCATCCATGTCCAGCAGATATGCAATGCGGGCCCATCTTGTGTTGTTGTATATTTCCCTTTCATTTTCTTTCTGCATGACACAGGTCCACAGATACACAACTGACCTCTTCCACTAATAAATTAACATGTAAACATATCACCTTCACTGCCTGCCGGGGTGGGTCAATTGGACTCGATGAGTGAATCTGAGAACAGAGGGCCCCACGGTAATAAAACCTGGTGTCTGATTTTGCACTGTTAGGCGATGTTATTTTAGCCGGTGTTTGACTTTTGTGGCTGAGGCTAGACTTGTTAGTTTAGGTTCCTGCCCTTCTGCCAATGTTGTTAGCCACATTCAGAGCCACCCTCAACATATTAGATGACTCTTTGCTTCTTAGCTTTTGAAAATAACATAGCAGAGTGTCCCCCACCTGAAGTTTTTTGCTCAGAGGAGCATCTGATTCCACTCTGAGGTGGAAACGTTTGAGCTTTGGCTTCAAATGAATCTTTCTCTTTTGATTGAGCAGCATGGAAATGTGTTTGACTTGCTAAATGAAGAGGTTCACCAGCGCATAAAGCAGCATGATGATTTTGAAAGTGTGCTTCTATTCAGTCCACAGTTATATAACAGAAAAAAATTAGCTTGTGGTTTCACTCAGCCACAGCTTTCAAAGGGCACCACAGTTAACAAGGCTCAAGAGAGGATCATGTCCTTAACGTCTGTCTACCTTTTGAAAAATAAATATAAAATCAAGTACACATAAATGGCTTGAAAATTATATAACAACCAACCCTTGAAAAAAAAAAAAAAAAACTGCTGTATATTATCCTAACTCATATGTTTTCAAACTGGGGTCCAGGGAAATGAAAATAAAATAAAAAACGAAACGACAAGAAATGAAATAAAAATAATCGAAAAGAAAAGTAAAGACATGAAATGAAATGAAAGTGTTAGCTGAAAGTGCATGTCTTCAGTTCAGCCAGTGTTCAGTACCGCAAGAGTTTAGGCCTTGTGAACAGTGTCATTAATCTGTGTGAGGAATGACAGCAAGTAATGTATGAGCAAACATTTAGAGCATGACCTCTGACAAAACAGGTTAAAGTGCTTCCTTTTTAGGAACTCACACTAAGGTACAGAATTTTTTTTTTAACTTATAAATGGCTCACAAGGTGTAAATCTTTGCAGTACTGAACACTCTGGCTGCAGTGCAGACAAGCACTCTTAGCTCATATTGCAGTTCTCTGTGGAGTTTAAGGGATAGTTCATTCAAAAATAAAAATTCTGTCATAATTTACTCACCCTTAAGTTGTTCCAAACCTGTATGAATTTCTTTCTTCTGCTGAACACAAAAGATGATATTTTGAAGAATATGGTTAACCAAAGAGTTGATGGACCCCATTGACTTCTATATTATGTAAAAAAAAATTGTCAATGGGGTCCATCAACTGTTTGGTTAACCAGATTCTTTCAAATATCTTTGTTTGTGCTCACACACAAATGCCCCTTATGTACTGCAAGCTAGCACAGGAAACCGTTGGGATTGCATGAGAAGGAAACCAGTGCTTTTATAGTGTACCCCAGTGCTTTCAAGTATATCCCATCAACACCACAAGAAGGTAAAGAATGTGTAAGCAACAAGAAGTAATAAAATGTAGGGGCAAAAACAAGGCAATTCTTTGTACTCATAGCGTACCTAACAGTGTTCTCTCTACATGGCGTGGTATGGTCCTGAAAAGGTGTTACTAAAGTGTTTGACATGAAACCCTACAAAACATAAAAACATCACCACCACAGTGGGGCTGAGGGCCGTTGAAAGGTCCCCGGTCCAATCAGTTCAACTGCGCCATTAACACCCCATTGAGCTGCCAGAGGGAGTGACTGACACCCGACAGGACAGAACTGCGTGAAAGCACACACGACTCATAAACATCATCTCTAGTTAATAAAAAAACAACTGCTTATAAGCTTTTTGGATTATTAAGATTCCCAGAATGGAAGTCATAACCACGGCAGGACATAGTGATATACTGAAAAGGCCAATGGGTGATTATGTAAGTGTTCCCTGTGCAGGAAAAGGTCAGGAAAAAACGTGCTAACTGTTCTGAACTTTGATGCTAATGAAAAGCAATCATGTATAATTACAGCACAACAAACTTTGGCTTAAGTATGGCTTAATAAACCCCATCTTCTAAATAAAAGAGCCAAACGCAAATTGGTAAATTCATCGTGTCACTGCAGCAGCTGTCAAAAGCTCCGATTCCCATAAAAAAAAAAAAAACTGTGTCTTTTAAATGCACGCTTGGGACTGCACATGCGCATTGGCTAGCTAGATCAACCAGAAATTCCCCAAATAGGACTGACTTTGCAATTTGTCGTAAATCAGATCTGAACTGTTAAGGGGAAGAATGGGGGCTGTAATTATCTTTTATAGAAGTTAATTTCTAAAGTAAATTCAAATTTAAAATATGAAATAAAGTCAATAAAAATATAAATTCAGTATTGTGTGATGTAAAGTCAGAATTATGAGAAACTGTTACATTTCCACCTAGCCACCATCCTCTGCACTACACTTCCCAGCATCCCTCCTGGTCCCCACCTGCACGTCATCATCACCCTCATCACTGCCACTACAAATGCACACTCTTCGCCACAGTTCATTGTCTGACCTCGTTCATGCAATGTGGACTATTCCCCCCGTCTCCAGCGATCTCCCTGTCTCCAGCATCTTCCTTTCCTCTGTGTGTCCATTAAGATCATCCTTTGGACTCCACTACCCTGCTTCCCTCATCACTGCACCTTTAAGTTACAATTATGATAATTTGAAAAGTTGAAATTGCGAAATATAGTCACATAGTGAGATATCAAGTCACAATTGGGAGACATTAAATACATTTGCAATTGTGAGATATAAAGTCAAGAATACTTTTTAATTTCTTCATTCTGTGGCTTAACAAGCTTCCAAGTTGCTTCGAGATCATCAGATTTATGTTTTAATAGAGGGAGGATGTTTTAATGGCCCATTATCCTACTATTTTGATTCTTCAGCGAGGCTTATAGTGCACTTACCTCAGTTCTTTTAGTGTAAGCTGGAAGTCTTTGAAGCTGTTTCCTGGTGTGTAAAATGCTGAATTGCAGCCAGTTCTTACTAAGGGAGTAATGCAACCGGCCGGGTATCCTCCCTGCTCCTTAAGGTCTCCAAACGATCAAGGAAAACCTCCAACAGTGAGGTCTATGGAAAGATCATATCATCATTTTAGCTTACTACATTTTTATTTAATTTTTATTTTTTATATAAATATTTATAATAACTCAAAGGGCTTGTAAACATTTGTTAAGTCCCATAAATCCATTTTTATGTTGCATTTTGTGGTTTATGGTGTTTCGAAGTGCCTGCTTTTCAGGACAGTGCTAAAGCTTTCAAGAGCCAATGTTTTACATTAATACGATGTTTGGAAGTCCCGCTTGGCATCAGCCAGACAGGTCAGGGTGACTGGCACTTCTTTTGCTCTGGCACTGGAGTATGAGACCGTTCAAAGCTGCAGCCAGGCACAAAGGGGAGACTTGTTCCCCTCAACTCACTGACCTGAGATCAAATATGAAGCTCACACAGACTGCAGGGGAGAGTGAAATCAAAGACATAATTCTGCCACCTTCGCAAAATCTTGCATCGGTGAACGTTTGGGTCAGACGTCACCTTGGCCAGCAGTAAAGCTGCACTCTTGACAAATCCTCTAAAGAAATCTGTAGCCGTTGGAAGACAAACAAGAAACTCATTCTGTATGTTACATATTCCTGGGTTAAACAGCCTAAAGGATGTGTTATGAATGAACAAAACAAATAAATGTATGTAAAAGCCAAATCTATCATTTGTACTATGAATTTCTTTACATTTTTTAAAATTATTTAGGAAATAAATCATGGTACAGTTTGTTTTTATTTGCCATGTTTAGAAAGTTTACCAGATGGAAAATTTTACCTACTCTAATGTACTGTCTGTGTATTTAAGCCCTTAGTTTATGGTCCGGTTGTGTTTGTTATTCGTGGTTGTATAATATTATCTCTTCTGAGTTTTCCTGTGCCCATTGGATTTAATTATTAAAGACTATTTCCTCGAATCTCGATTTCTCGTTTTTTACTCACCCTCATGCCATCTCAGATGTATGTTAGTTTCTTTCTTCAGTGGAACACACATGGAGATTTTAGAAAAATAATCTATCTCTGTGAGCCTATATAATGCAAGTGGATAGTAACCCAAAAGTCGATGCTTCAAAAACCACGAAAACGAACACAATGATAATCCATACGACCTCAGTTGATGAATAGCCTTCTGAAGCAAAAAGATAGGTGTGTTTAATAGGAAACAGTGTAAATTTTTCTTGGTTTTTGAAGCATAATCTAGTTACTATCCATTTGCATTATATGGACTCACAGAGACTGATTATTTTTCTAAAATCTCAGTTTGTGTTCATCTGATGAGAGAAAGTCATTTATATCTGGGATGACATGAAGATGAGTAAATTTTTATTTTTGGGTGGAGTACTATTTTTTTTGACTAATTGGTTGTTGTTATGTAGCATGATTTTAATTTTGCTGCACTTCTCCTCATACTATCAATGGTCTACCAGACAAGCCAAACTTAAGACGCTTAAAAAGGACCAAAGGAGGCATGCAGGAAGATGGGGGACTGGAGAGAATCATGCATTCACCCATCCATCCATCTCTCCCAGCGCACACATTAATCCAGCACATTAGACTGTCAGCTTGAATACATTGACTATTGCATGTGTCAACAGGGATCTGCTTGTCTTGCCCACGGAGCAGGTGAGATATACATGACCTGACACTCGCACTGAGACTCGTCTGAATGCCTGGAGAAAGGGAAGAGTGGGAGTCAACAAACTTACATGAGGTCTATGGCGAGGTCACAGATTAAAGAGGCACCCACTGGCCTCAAACGGGAGTAAAACTGAAAGTATGTGTGATATGAGGGTCCAAGCTGTTTCAACAGAACAAGATCAGGTGTTGAAATGAATTCGTTTGGGACAGGCCGCCTTTGCTGGAATGCAGCGTTTGCGTGTTTAACTTAAGCCTGGGATTTCACGTCTCTTTAGATTTTTCTTCAAATAACAAAACATCTATGCAGGTAAAAATAATTATTTGAGAATGATTCTCTTTGTAACAATTCAAAGGCTGAGAAAGTGAAAACAAGGCCAAAACACGGACAGAACAATCACAATGTCTACACACCATCTAAGGATTTGGAAGAGCTGAAAAAAGCCTGGCATGTCCTCAAAAAGACATCTGACTGATAGTGTTTTATACACGTTAGGTTTTGATTCGTATGATGTAAACTCTTCAGGCTCTTGTAGGTTTGTGCAGAGCTACAATCTGGAAAGGTTTTAATTATACACACAAACACTTTCCTGCAGTACAACCAATTGAAACAGTTATACCTATATCGTTTATGGTCTGCAGAGGGGTTCTCCTTGGCCACTTCGTGTAGGATTATATGAAGACATTAGCGGGTCGCTGAACAGTGCGTATCTGCACACAAATTTCGATCTTAGGGTCATTATCATTGTCACTAGGAAAAATTTCTGGAATGTTTTCTGCCCTCTGGCCCATGAGGCCAGATTACTGCAGCCCTAAAGTGATGTTCTACATTCCCCCAACAGATCCTGTGAGCTTTTGAAGAAAAACTTCAAAAAGTGGAGAAACATTCCTCACTTGTTATTGACTTCAATTAGATGAGAAGACTTCTCCTGTCTATTGGTCCTTAGCACGCATCTGGAGGAGAAACAGAGACACTCACTGTCTCCAGGATTGTCGGACCAGTGCTATGAAAACAAAACTGCAGCGCTGCTGTCACTTAAGAATGAACAAATATTAAAGATTGAGACCCAAATCCGGATAACAATCTAAAAATAAAACTCCTTGACCAATTTCCCACACCAATCACTAGAATAATCTTAACCACAGCCCTCTGTCTGCAATCCTTTAACTCTGTCTGGCTTCAACCATAAATGTTCTGTTTTTGCTTGTGTTTGCCATTAAAGAAATATTTCAACCAAAAATAAAAATTCTGCCATGCCGTTATGACTATGTTGCCATTTTTTTTTCCAGTGGAACAGAAAAGAAGAACATTTTGAACAATGGTAATGTTTAATAGAGTATATTACAGAACAACACTAAATAAAAATGTGCAGTAAACTGTACGTGAAACTGAAATTTTTCTGTAATCAGTCTACAATTGGTCACACTATGTTTTTGATTCACAAAAAAAAAAAGTTCTGTAATCAAACCACACTGCTCGCCATGTATGTTTTATGATTCACTACAAAACAACCAACTCATAAGAGTCATTCGCTCAGGAGTTGGACTACACTGGTCACACTGTTTGGTTTTGATTTACTAAAAAAGAATCGTCTCACAAGAGTCATTCGTTCAGGAATCAGACTACAATGGCTGTGCTGTATGTTTTTGATTCACTAAAAACAACCATATCCTAGGATTCATTCTCTCAGGAACTGGACTACACTGGTCACACTGCATGATTTTGATTTACTAAAAACTATTAGTTCATACAGTAGGCGTCATTTGTTTGGGAATCATACTACAGTGGTTGCACTGTATGTTTTTGATTAACTAAAAAAAACGGGCTAATTAGAGTCATTCATTCAGAAATCAGACTACACTGCATCCGAAATTGCATACTTCCCTGTTATAGTGGGCGAAAAACAGTATGAGACAAAAGTAGTATATTCAAATTCACAGTACTCATAAAAGAGTAGGCAAAAAGTGCCCAGATGACCTACTACTTCCAGCGAGATTCTGAAGTGTGCATACGATGGACACCTTACAATCCCATGAGAGGATTTGTGAATGGCAGTGAAGCGATGCAACTGACGCTAGTAGGTCACATGACAGCATGGCGGATGTAATATGTTCAAATTACATTCATACTATATAGAACATAATTTTTTAGCGGTTGTGAAGTAATTACTTATTCAAAATAAGTACATACTTAAGAGAGAATGCGATATCGGATGCAGCCTTTATGAATCGCTAAATCATTCACTCAACAGTTTCGTTCAGAAACTCATTTGTCAGGAATCAGATTACACTGGTTCTGCTGTATGTGTTTGATTCACTAAAAACAGCCACCTAAGAGTCATTAACTTGGAAATTGGACTACACTGGTCACACTGTATGCTTTATTCACTAAAAAAGGACCAGCTCATACAAGTCATTTTATGTGTAATCAGACTTCACTGGTCGTTCATCAGTCAGGTCTATTTTTTTTTAAAGAAACTGGTTCAGAAAAGGCAGACTTTACCTTTTTTTTCCCTGGCTTGATACTTACAGTGCCTCTGGGAAGAGATAACATGACTTTTTAGAGCACTGTTTTTCCACAGGGCCAAGAGTCTTTTGATAGATGTGTTTGCATAACTAGGCTGTCTGTGGTGTTAGAGAGTCTGAAAAATCAGGCCAGCCAAGGAAAGTAACACAGCTGCAACTGCTGGCCCCCTTGCTTTACATTAGACCTTAGGCTATCACAAAGATACCTTTATGATGAGAGCCACTGAGTTCAGGGGAAGGAGAGAGAGCACACACACACACACACACACACACACACACCCTGTGAACACAACATGTAAGAGCACAAGGAGAGAGGTAAGTATGCTCAAATGGAAATGTGAAGGTGCAAAAGGTTGCAATGCTATTTAGGTACTGCACATTTGCAGAGAACTATTTGGGACAAATATACACATTTCAGTTTAAAATAGAAAAAATCCTCAAAGCACAGTGCCACAGAAGCAGGAGGAGCCCAGACATCTCAAAGAGGAGGAGTAAAAAAAAGATTCTCTGCGTAGACGGTGACAAAAAAAAAACCCATTTGTTTGTAATGGATCAAAAACAGCACTGGGAAACAACATCAAATGGACTAAAATCCATCTCAAAATCACTAAAGTAGCCACAAGGGTCATGTAAACACTTTCAATCAGTCTCAGACAGAGAAAAACAGTTTTATAGATGGAGTATTCTTTCCTGGAATAAGTGTGTTTTTATTCACTGAAATATTACAATGCACACGCAAGAATACCACCATGCTAATTCCTCTATTTTGAAAAGAACAACCTCAATCAATTTTATTGCATTTTTGAATTTCTTTCTACACTTTAGGCATCATGAGAATGACCAGATGTGGCCCAGGCTTTTTCTAGAGGTTTAGGCGGTTGATATTGATATCATCCAACAATCTAGTGGCCCCTGGCGCAATGTCAGCAGTCTGCCACCATCTAAAGTCTTTAGAAAGAACAATGAAGCAGAGATCTCTTCAGGTCCAATCTCAGAGATTTCATTTCATTGTCATCCCAGTCATATGTATTTAGTCATATACCAACCATTGTCCCACCTGCTGAAGTGCCTTTCAGTGACATTAAATACTTTCTGCGAAGATAGAGCTGTCTGTCAGAGATTGGCTTTGGGGTATTTCCTGTAAAACGGTCTAAAGTTTAGATGACAGCTATAAATCATCAAGTGTACATTTGGTCTGAACTATTTTTAAGCCAAATAAGGAGGCATCTTAAAATATCATACGTGTATTTTAGAGCTGCAAGATTAACCGTTAAAAGATCGCGATCTCGATTTAAACATTTACACGATCTTATTCCTAAATGACAACGATTCACCTGTGTCTATTAAACCTTTGACAAAATCACTTTCAAATATGCGTTGGTGCTGCCGCTGACCCAGAGAGAGAGCAGTTGTCATGTATAGGTATGAAATCTGATCCATCAAGTAATGAAACAAGTGAATTATAGAGTGGTGCAGGTATGGTTTCACTTTGTAGGCCAAAACGGGGAAGCGAGTTAGTATTTTAGCACTTCCGGTTCCATCATCCAAAAGTCAATGGGTTTCTGGAATGGGATTTTGGTTTAATGGCTGAAATAGGTCTGTGCTCAAGACACTTTCGTGTTTTATTCTACAACATAAAATACATCAGTATTACCCCACTTGTGATTTTTGAAACTGTAATGTGTCTTGAAAAAGGCGGTTGCTAACAAGGCTAAATGGGACTACAAAGGCCGTCGAGGAGATTAAACATCACGCCAAATAGGTCAGCTCAGTTCGCTTTTACAGCATCGTTATGGTTATAATTGTGCTCTTACAAACTATTCTAACTCAAACTTTCTGGGAAAACATTTTTAGATGAAAGAGTTGTCGATGGCTTTTTACTTCTGGCAACTGCATTTAGGCTTTAAAATTCATAAAAGATGTGTTCATCTGTGAAAATGATCTTGATGGACAAAACGTGCAAGTATTATAAACTTTTCGATTATCGCAAAAAATAAGCTCTGTGATCAACAACAGCCTATGGAAAAATCCTATTGGGTTTTTGTTGAGGGAAACAGTGTGATGTTAACTGTCTCGATTGGCCTTCAAAGTGACCTCATACCTGCACCACTGTAAGACTGGAAAAACTGGAAGAACTGGTCGAGGAACGACCACTCATCGAGGGGACAAAGGACCTTTGAACTCCCCCTCGTGCACTATTGAGACGAAGGTCTCACCTCCCTCATCCTAATCTGAATTTCTCCCCCTCATCCCCCATGCGAAGATCCCCAAAAACTCACCCAAGAATCTAAATGGTTTAATGTGAATGATTATCATCGAGTTTTATACATGTTTGGTATCATTTGAAATGTCTCAGTGCGACTGGTACAAATGTCTCATTTCCAAATAAGTAAAACAAAAGGTAATAAGGTTTTTAAGAGTTTAGGGATAACTGGCACACAAAGGAATGTGGTCTCTAGACAAACGGTCTCCTACCCCCAAAAGGTGTAACCTCTGAATGCAAATAACCATTGTTAGCCTATATAATGAAATGCAGCAAGGGCCTCGGGGCCTTTCTGTATCTCAGATCAGCCCGTGAATGCTGAGAGCCACCGGGACTCTCAGCTTCATGTATTTCCTAATGTCGGGTTAGATCTCATTTGATGTTTTATATTGATTATCTTTGAACTGATTATACATTTACCTGACATAATAAATTGTTACATTTGATTATTCTAACTGACTTTGACATTATTTTCATTAGAGTTAAAAGGAATAGTCAAACTTTCGCTTATATTTAATGATGCACAGCAGATATCATTAAAGTACCTCAGATGAAATAACGAGAGAACACATATGAGAAAATGTATTGCATTTAATCAAAAATACTTTGCCACGAGAAAAGACAGTAACACATAAACCTTCCGTGCTGATCGGATGCCGGACTTTGGGCCGATCGAGCTTGTTTACAAGTACTTATGGGTGAGTCATTGAATTATTCATTCAAACCGATTTAATTCATTTAAATTAATTAAATATTTTTAAATAGACTGCAGCCATGAATATTTTGTCAGAACCTCTAGTAAATTGCATATTATTTTGTATATTCTTCCATAGAATTCAGTCTATAAAAATTCTATCTGACACCCTAGCAGTCACACAGCAACTATCCAAAATTTAATTCAAATTTATTTGTATAGCGCTTTTCACAATACATATTGTTTCAAAGCAGCTTTACAGAAAGTGCATTTCAGAAATGTACATAGAAAAATACAGTTAGTTAATCATGTATTAATTTAGGGCATAACATATCGCCGGCGTTGAGTCATCTCTTCACAGGCGTTTAGTTGTCTCATCGCAGGTGTTGGGGCATCTGAAGTCTCCATGAGAGGCTTGATACAAACTGGAGCTGACGAACGCTATTTACCTCGGGACTAGCGTCCCGAGATAACAGCAGAAAAGCAGATGGGAAATAATTAGCATAGCTGCTGTTCATAATATTAATGCATTCGATCTGATTCAACAGTGGTATAAAAGGTAAGCATTATGTGAATGCTTGGCTAAAGAGATGCGTCTATAATCTAGTTTTAAACTGGGACAGCGAGTCCGAGCCTCGAACAATATCAGGAAGGCTATTCCAGAGTTTAGGAGCTAAATGTGAGAACGCCCTCCCTCCTTTAGTGGACTTAGATATCCTAGGAATGACCAGAAGCCTCGAATTTAGTGATCCTAAAGAACGCGATGGATAGGGCGATAGAAGGTCCATTAAATACACAGG